AAAGATAGAAAAAGACATGAAATAACCAAGAACAGAGCTGAACTGAAGGATATAGACACATGAAAAACACTTCAAAGAATCAATGAAACCAGGAGCTGGGTTTTTGAAAAAAATTAATAAAATAGATAAACCCCTAGCTAGACTAACAAAGAAGAAAAGAAAGAAAAATCAAATAAACACAATTAGAAATGGTAAGGGGAATATCCCCCTGACCTTACAGAAATACAAACAAATCATTAAAAAATACTATAAACACGTCAATGCACATAAACGAGAAAATGTAGAAGAAATGGATAAATTCCTGGATATATACACCCTCTCAAGCCTGAACCAGAAAGAAATTCTATCCCTGAATAGACCAATAATGAGTTTTGAAAATTGAGGCAGTAACAAATAGCCTACTGACTGAAAAAAGCCTAGGACCAGATGGATTCACAGCTGATTTCTACCAGAGGTACAAAGAAGAGCTGACACCATTCCTACTGAAACTATTCCAAAAAACTGAAAAGGAGGAACTCTTCTTTAACTCGTTCTATGAGGCCAGCATCATCCTGATACCAAAACCTGGCAGAGATACAACGAAAAAATAGAAAGCTTTATGCTAGTATCCTTAATGACTATCAATGTGAAAACTGTCAACAAAATCCTGGCAAGCTGAATCCAGCAGCACATTAAAAAGCTTATCCACCACAATCAAGGAGGCTTCATCCCTGGGTTGCAAGGTAGTTCAACATATGCAAATCAGTAAATATGATTCATCACATAAACAGGGCCAAAGACAAAAGCCACATGATTATCTGAATAGATGCATAAAAGGCCTTTGATGAAAATTAACATTCCTTCATTTAAAAAACTCTTAATAAACTAGTTATTGAAGGGACATACCTCAAAATTATAACAACCCATGTATGACAAACCCACAGCCAATGTGATATTGAATGGGTGAAAGCTGAAAGCATTCCCCCTGAAAACCAGCAGAAGACAAGGTTGCCGTATATCGCCACTCCTGTTCAAGATAGTACTGGAAGTTCTGGCCAGGGGAATCAGGCAAGAGAAAGAAATAAAGGGTATTCAGATAGGAAGAGAGGAAGTCAGACTATCTTTGTTTGCAGATGACATGATCCTCTATCTGGAAAACCCATCTTCTCAGCCCAAGAGCTTCTTAAGCTGACAAGCAATTTCCACGAACTCTCAGGATATAAAGTTAATGCTAGTGCAAAAGTCACTAGCATTCCTATACACCAACAACAGACAAACCAAGAGCCAAATCACAAGTACACTTCCATTTACAACTGCCACAACAAGAATAAAATTCCTAGGAATATAGCTAACAAGGGAAGTGAAGGACCTCTTCAAGGAGAACTACAAACCACTGCTCAAAGAAATCAGAGAAGACAGAACAAATGGAAAATCATTCATTCCATGTTCACAGAGAAAAAGAAGTAATATTGTGAAGATGGCCATACTGCCTAAAGCACTTTATAGATTCAGTGCTATTCCCATTAACTTACCACTGACATTCTTCACAAAATTATAAAAAAACTATTCTGAAATTTATACAAAACCAAAAAGAGCTTAAATGGTCAAGGGAATTCTAAGCAAAAAGAACAAAGCTGGAGGCATCACAGTACCCAACTTCAAACTACATCGTAGGGCTCGGTAACCAGAACAGCCGGGTTCTGATACAAGAACAGACACATAGACCAATGAAACAGAATAGAGAACCCAGAAATAAGACCACATTCCTACAACCATCTGATCTTTGACAAACCTAAGGAAAACAAGAAATGGGGAAAGAATTTCCTATTCAATAAACAGTGCTGGGAGAACTGGCTGCCATATGCAGAAAATTGAAATTAGATCCCTTCCTTACACCATATACAAAAATCAACTCAAGATGAATTAAAGAGTTAAAAGTAAAACCTACAACTATGAAAACCCTAGAAGAAAACCTTGGCAATACAATTCAGGGCATAGGCATAGGCAAAGATTTCATGATGAAGGTACTAAAAGCAATTGCAACAAAAGCAAAAATAGACACATGAGATCTAATTAAACTAAAGAGCTTCTGCACAGCAAAGTAAACAATCAATAAATTAAACAGACAACTTAAAGAATGGGAGACAAATTTTGCAACATATCCATCTGACAAACATCTAATATCCAGCATTTATAAGGAACTTAAGTTTACAAGAAGAAAACAACCCCATTAAAAAGTAGACAAAGGACAAGAACAGACATTTCTCAAAAGAAGACATACACGTGGCCAACTAACATATGAAAAAAATAACTCAACATCACTGATCATTAGAGAAATGTAATTCAAAACCACAATGAGATACCATCTCATACCAATCAGAATGGCTATTATTATTAGGTTGGTGTGAAAGTAATTGTGACTCTGTCATGGAAATTAATGGCAAAAGCCACAATTACTTTTGCACCAACCTTATAAAAAGTCAAAAAACAACACATGCTGGCAATGTTGTGGAGAAAAAGGAAATGCTTTTATACTGTTGGTAGGAATGTAAATTAGTTCAATCATTATGGAAGACCGTATGGCAATTCCTGAAAGGACCTTGAAGCAGAGTATCTTTCAACCCAGCAATCTCATTACTCAGTATATACCCAAAGTAATATAAATTATTGTATTATAAAGATACATGTGTGTGCATATTTTCTGCCACCCTATCTGCAATAGCATAGACATGGAATCAACCTAAATGCCATTAATGATAGACTAAGGAAAATTTGGCACATATACAGCATAGAACACTATGCAGCCATAAAAAGATCATGTTCTTCATGGGGGCATGAATGGATTTGGAAACTGTTATCCTCAGCAAACTAACATAGGAACAGAAAACCAAACACCCTGTATTTTCACTTATAAGTGGGAGCTGAAAGATGAGAACACATGGACACATGGGGCCATGAAGCACACACTGGGGCCTGTTGGAGAATGGAGGTTAGAAGGAGGGAGAACATCAGTAAGAGCAGCTGTCAGATGCTGAGCTTAATACCTTGGTGATGGGATGATGTGTGCAGCCAACCACAGTGGCACACTTTTACCTATGTAACAAACCTGCGCATCCTGCATATGTATCCCTGAACTTAAAATAAATGTTAGAAAAAAACCTTGTCTCTAAACCTAGCTCGGCACTTTATTAGTTGTGGATCCATAGGTAGGTTACTTAACATCTCTGTGCCTTTGTTGCTCCGTCTGTGAAATAGGGATAGCGAAGACAGCACATCACAGGGTTCAAGTGAGAAATGAATGCAACACCATTTATAAAGCTATTAATGCTGTACGTGGCACATTGTGAGTTCTAATACATGTTACCTAAAATGGAAGAGGGTCTGTCTTAGTTTCTAAATGCTGTGCCATATCTGTTTCCTCCCTAATATTGATAATTTATGTTTGGAGTACTCCATGGGGGCAGGGAATCCTACGTTAGCTCACAAGGTCATTTTATTTAACATACATTTATACAACTCATACTGTGTACTAGGGTCTGATGTAAGCACTGAACACATAGTTATTTCATTCTCCACACAATCCTATGTGGTAGCTATCCCATACAAAAGCCTCCGAATTTCTATACCTGCCACATTTTGTGACTTATTTTGATAAGTCCTGTGGGAATGGGGTGGATAAATTAAAGATGAAAGAATAAGATTCTTCCCTTAAGGCAGAGGGCAAAGAAACAAATACTTGTAGAGGGTATATTATCTCAGGCTAGATATTTTGTGTGCATTATTTAATTTCAAGCAACAACTCTCTGTGATAGGTGATATTCCCATTTTGTAGATGTGGAAATAAACTAATGAGGTTTTTGGGTTTTTTTTTTATAACTAACTCAGCATTGCACAGCCAGTTCATTGTGAGGAATGGGATTCTAACCCAGGCCTGATTTCAGACCCTGTACACCTTTCACTGCATCTTGATGTCTGTTAATAGGAAAGATAATGTGCATATATAAATAAAATGTTAAGGTATAGATAAAACATATATAGATAAGTTGTCCTCGGAGATAAGGGGAGTAATCAACAAGCCAAGAGGTTCCTGGGATGCTTCACTGAAGAGGGAGCATTTGAAATAGGATCTGAAAGTGAGCAGGTTGTAGGCTGGGTGGGATTGGGAGAAGGAGGTTATAGGTAGAGGGAAGATCACAACCAAAGGCCTGATAGGATCAGGATAACATGTGTAGTTGGCAGTAATGGACCAAGGAGGTGAAACTGCCTGAGTAAGAAGCAATATCTTTCATCAACATTGTTTAGAATTGCCAGAGCATGGTCATAATAAAGAGCAGACTGACTCTTAGTGTATTTATTGCTTTTAAACTCTACAGATAATGTACCTGCTTTATTAGGTGTATCCAGGACAGACCACTCCTATCAACCTGTATTCTTTGGTATGCCATTGGGTTTGTTGGAATTAAGTTTCTCTTGAATTCTGTTCTCTGTAAGTCTTTCTTGGTAGCGCTCCAAATTTCTACGATTTCTAGCCTGTTTTATTCCCAGCCTGTGTTATTTCTGGCTTGCACTCTTCACTATGTGATTTTTACCCTGTGTTCCAGGAAGACAGGTTCTTTCAGGGGCAAAGAGTTAGCCCTAGGCTTTCTATAGGTTTTGGAAAAGAAGGATCACAAGTGGAACCAGGTGTCTCTCATACTCCAGGTCTGGAGTTCTTCTGCCTCAGGCAGGAAGCCTGTCTAAAATAAAAACTTTCTTCAGGATCTGAGTGATATCCACAAGCAATGCTAGATTGAACTAAAGGGCATGGGCCATGGCACTGCAAGAACCTTCTTAGAACTTTTGTCACTTGGTGGGAAGTTAAGAGTGGGCTGACTTGAGCCTTGAAATGGTTAAAGGGAAGACCATGTGGTTGAAACACTCTCTACCCCCACCCCCCTGGTCTTTCCTTGACTACCAACCTGGGGCAAAGGAAGGAGGATCTCCTGCTAATTTTCAACTGCATTGTGCTCTCTGTTATGTAGCATTTCAGTGACATCATCCACTCAGGAGAGTTGGGGCGAGGCTGGCTGAGGTTCTCAAGGAGCTGAGTTTTGAGTTCAGGTGCTCGTGTAGCAGTGGAATGATGCCTCCTGATCTTTCAGACCTTTGAGACCTCTGGGCGGTCTTAGAAATCACCTCAAGCCTCCATCCAGTCCAGGATACGACTGCCTAGGGGAATTCCAGGGAAAGGTGGCAGGTAGAGTATCCTTTCTGAGTTTTATTCTCTTGTCCTCCTTTCCCTTCTTTCTCTGTGTCTGTGTTGCTCCGTTGTGTCTCCTCCTCGAGATTCCAAAGAACATTGATGCCAAGGTATTTATTTTATGTTCTTGTCAACAGAGATACCATGGACTATAAGGTGATGAATGCCACGATGAGCTCACTACAAGATCTCAAAGATTCCAAGCCACTGGCTATTCCAAAGCATAAAGCCACCCTTCAGGAGCAGCGTTGGGAGGCAGACTGGGAGGAGGTAAGGAATCATCCACTCTTCCCTCTGCCCCTTGCCTCCATCAGCCTTTCACTATCAGATTGTTTGGGCTCTTGCCTGATGGGCTTTTTCCTGTGTGTTCTTCCTTAGGCCCTGAGTTTTTGCCAAAGGATGGATCACCCCCTCAGGTGTCCAGGGAGCTGCTGAAGCATAGTGAGGCAGATGCACAGGACAGAAACACAGAAACTGGAACCAACAGGCACCTAAAGTTGATTCGCACCCAGCATCCCTGAAGACTGATGTTCTCTGAGCTGTAGTTCTTCATTGGACTGTTTTTCCTTTGCTATCACCTGCCTAACACATAGTGCTGGATGCTTTTGACTGGTTGGATTTCTTTTTTTTTTTTTCCCTTTATTATTTCTTTCCTTGATTCTGGGAATTATAAAAAAAAAATTGCTTTAAAAAGTAGTATTCTGTGCTGAAATTAGCCTTGTTTATGAACAAGTTTTATCCCTAGGGATTTCCTGAATTGCAGTCCCAGGTTACCTTGTAAATGGGGCTGTGCTGTTTGATTTGTATAGTACTGATCTGTAGGTTAAAATACATTTTCTTTCTTTTGTTTCATTCTTTTTTTTAAAGTTTGGATCCAGGTAATGGCCTGAGTCACATTTGCTTAGCTACTGAAGCGATCTCAATGTGGTATCGCTTAGAGTTGAAACATAATCAAACATACATTATACCTGGGGCTCTTGCACACTATTTGATGTATATGTTACACTACAAAGAAACACAAACCTTGTAGGTTGAAGTTTAATTCCTCTTTGATCCTGCAGCTAGAATGCTAAAGAAATTGTAAATATCAAAAGTGGCTTCAAATACCCTGAATGTAAGCTAGTCAACAGTAAGTGGATGGTTTCAGAATACCATTTTCTAAGACAAAGCAGGAAGTAGAGATCTACCTGAGCATCCACGATGTTGCTCAGGTCTGTCTGTGGATCTGTCCATTTTGGAGTAAAGAACAAGGCATGCTTCTGTGATTGTGCTTATGAAAACTGTGGTATTTCCGATTTATGTTTTGTAATTGTGCCTGCCTTGCAATAAAACACATTCAGTTGACTCAGCAATAAGGTCTCTGTCAATTTCCTGCAAAACTGTGTCTTTAGTAGCTTTCTAAGAAAGTCCAGTGTAGACCTATCAGTGGTTGACCTGCTAGACATTTCCGCTGGACCTAGCATTATTGCTTTTTCAGAAATAGCACCAGAGCTGTCCATTGTCTACACATGTGGTCAGTTGTCTGGTCAGCTTTTCAATTTTTCATATTACCATCAACTACAGGAATCTCTAGTCACAGCCTAACCCTGTTACGTAGATGTGCTGCCATCTGCCATCGTGTTCTAACTCTGGAGTCCCTGTTTATTTCTGAGACTCTAGGACAAGCCAAAAACCCTCTGGACCTCGGCGTCCTCATAAACAAAATGGGGATAATGATACTTCCTATGATGTGGTGATAAGTACCTGTAAAAGGACATCACATGGATGGTACTTTGAACATTGTAAATTCATTTGGATGTGGCAATACTCAATACATGGTGGCTATTTTATTTGTTAATAAAGAATTGAATGAATTTCTAAATCTCTTAGAGTTAACCTTTAGTTGAGAACACTGAGTAACCTCTGAGTAGTTTCTTAGGCCTCTGTACTTAAAGCTCTTGGAAAAAACGTGAAGATTCATGAGGCAGAAGTCTGGAGTGGAGAATCTGCTGCTGCCTTCCTTGGCCACATAACCAAATACCTCAATTCCTTAATTTCTCCTTCTGAAAATTGGGCAGATGTTTTACCCCCTTCACAGCAATGACACTATCCCATTCTCAGAAAAGTATATACTATCCTGTTCTCAGAAAATCATATAACTAATAAGACACCACCTTTTCTACTTGTTTGCAACTTCAAGCCCATGTCATCCAAGAGGAGGTGAGTATCTCTCTGGATACTGACAAGGAGAGCTCTTTAACTAAGGAGAATAATCCAAACCATCAAAAACCACATCACACTAGATCTGTCACTTTAGTGGAAAGTACTTCCGAGAGAACCCTGGTATTCTCTACACCACACCTGGGATTTTGTGGTGATCAAAATGTGCAGCAGAGACAAGAGCTGACACGATTCATTTTGGACTGGGTGGCAAATAGAACGGTTGTTCCCTGATTGCCATGGTATAGATTATTGTCCCACGGTCATTATTCCTGGACTTCAAGACATGCATAGTAGAAAGAATATTTTCTACTTTCTACCCTGAAGTATTAAAATGACAATAAGAATTGCAGCAGCAAGTTAACAGTTATTGAGCACTTACTGTAAGCTGGGCATTAGGCAAAACATTACGAGCTCTGGCTGATTTCATCATCAGAGGGATTGCATGAGTAGGTACTCTCATTACCCCCATTGCTTACATGAAAAACTGAGCCATGGAGTGGTTAGGTAAGTGAGCCAGACCACCCAGTTGGTGCGAGGCATAGCTGGATGAATCAGTCAGGTTGTCCTGACTCCAGAGCTTGACCTCTTCACCACCAGGCTCAGCTGCTTCCTCATTTGGGCTTCTGTCCCTGTCTGATTGCTTACTGGTTTGTGACTTTAAACCTCAATTTCGTTGTCCTTATTTGTAATTTAGGTCTATTCTCGTTCTCTCTCACCTGCTTCCCACAATTATTGCCTATGCTCTTGGAAAATGTGTTCCATGTAATTTCCACTTCCCTCCAACAGTTTATCCAGAGGTTGGTGATATGGTGTATCTGTTTGAAGAACCACTGGAATTGAAAGCAGGTTACATAGTTGTAAACAGGTTGTAGCGGCTGCAATTGGCATCCTGTCCACATTTTTAAGGGCTTCCTTTAACTGGGGCACCATTGTATATCACAGGCCAGAAGTGCTAGGGCATGCATTCCCTGCCCCACTGAGACTAGCCCTCAACCAGTGGCTGAAGAGATGTGTGATGTAAACACTCCAGCTCCCTCACCCCTTGGTGGACTGAATGAGGCATGTTCTATGCTGGCTCTGAGTTCTGTGAGGTGATGCTCCAGTTGCTCATGGTGTTAACTAGTTGTTGGCCACTTTTCATTCTCTATCTCATGCTGTTATCCACTCTTAACCAGTGCTCCCTAGAATCACTTCCCCAGGAAGTAATTTGCACAAAAATTCTTATCTTAGACTCTGCTTCTGGGAGAAACCCAAGCAAATTCAAAGTTCTGGTGCTGGTCAGTTATAGATATAATAAAGCACCAGAGGAAATACAGCAGTATTATTCAAGACTAAATAGTCTCTTTCTTTGTTTTTCTACTGATATTCTGCTAATATCAGAGGGATTAAGAACAGGAATGGGGGCCTTATAAACCTGAGACACAGTTGCCAGAGAACAATTTCCTTCTTGCAAAATAGGCACCCTTACAAGTTATGAGATATTTTTCCTTTAAATGAAAGACTCAACTAACATGATAATAATACCAGGCAAGAGTCACCTGACGGCAAATCAAATTACAATTCACAGACTAGGGCAAGTCGTTAAATATAAGGAGGTAATGGGAAAAGGAGAGAGTCACAATCCCTCACCTCTCAAGGACTCCTATTTGCCTTTGAATCACTTCTGCTTCAATTAACATCGATTGAGCTTGCCTAGAGGGCCTGGCTCTTGTCAAATCCCATTACAGGAGGCTCCAAGATACTATCTGTCGCAAACCTTTGTTGTACTGAGACTTTTTTGTGGGAATATTGAATATGGCATGGAGTAGCTAACACATTGATCAGGGATGTGATAACAAGAGGTTTGCTTTTTCTAGGGTGGCAGTATTATAAACAGGATTTCATTTTACCATTATTATTATCAACTAGATCCGATTCTCTAAGTTCAAGTTATGATGCTCTAAAAAGCATGTCAGACTGACCCACTACTGCTTTTAGAAATAAACATCGAAAATGTCAATCCTGTAAAGTGAGAAAATGTGACTGAATCTTTGTTATAGACATCACACACTGAATTTACTTGTTTTGTTGGAAGGAGACACACAGAAACATGTTTTCTCTATGGGGTTCTCAGTAAAGGAGTCTCTGTTTATTTTATCTGAGATGTAAAAGGAATTAATAGTATTTATCAGTCTGTCTTATGTCTTTTCGTCTCACTCTTGCAAAGATCTTGGAGGGTGGGGCTATATTGTATGCCTCTTTGTTTTCGGCATGTGATTGATAACAGAGCTTTCTTCATATTCAGTATCTACTCCTTCTTTACTTGAAATAAACTAGATGATGGAAACTGTTTATTTTATAGATTTCCTGTGGAATTTTAAACCATTAATAGTGTGTACCCAGCCTTATGCTTAATGGAGGAGGGAAAGAAAATCAAAATCCCATCCTTGGATGTGTGCTTAGATGTTGAGGGGCTAGATTCCTATGAGGAAAAAAATCAAAGAATAACATTGTTTCTAGGATTTTTTTTATGACCAAGAACATTTTATGCAGTGACACACTATTATAGGTACCTTTTTAATGCTTGCATTTTAATCTTATTTTTAATTTTTAGAAAAACATTTAAATGCTCTTGCTACTAATAAAACACATCTAATGAATGGAATCATCTCAGATATTAAATTAGATTACAAATTTAATTAGACAAATTCTCCTAAGTATTTTAATAAAATACTGACCAATTTCATTAAGTTTCAGAAACTTTAAAAGCGGATGGCACCACATGTGCATGTACAAACAATCACAATCACAATGGGATTCAAAATTTTTATTCCTACACTTAAACTCTTAGGTAGTATTTATATAATGGGTTTATGTCTCCATTATTCACAAACTTGTTTTATACCTTCCTTGTTTGTTATACTTCTCATTGTTTATACTTTCCTAGGTTTCAGTAATTTTGCTAAACTTGAAAGAAAAAGAATGCAGTTTCAGTCAAACTGGTGCTGCAGATACTGGGCTGTCAATCACATGGTTTTTGGTTGATACATGGGATCTTATTGGATCCCTTCAAAGTTGATACAGCCAGTCCTGGGCCAGTGTTTTCTGGCTTGAGTTTTTTTGTGAGAGTTAAAGTTTAGCCACTATGTCAATGGCTGTTGGAAGCCCTTGTCTTATACAAGAAACATGGAGCTTCCTCTGAGGGTTCCCATGTCCATCAAATCTTAGTTCCAGGCAGTAAGACTCTACTTCATGATGCTTTCGTTTTTCAGTATTTTTGATGAAAGCATCTAGTGGTTTCATTATCTAAGAGTTGAAGAGATAAATCTGGGCAGCAGATACTCTTCTGTGATCACCACATCATATGTCAGTTTCCAACACACCACTGGAATTTTTCTTCTGACTCTTATCAGTGACCATAGGGGCTGGTAACTCATCTGGTCTACCAAGAAAAATCTCCAGTTTTCTTGAGTTATTTGACTTAACATTCACTGTAGATTTTTTCCTATTTCTTGAGAAAAATAAAGATATTGAAACATATCAAAGAAACTGAACATCTATACATGTCAATTTTCTAATCTCACTAAAATATTTTAAAAATAAATATGCCTTTCTCTTTGTTTTTCGATGACCTCTTTGTACATCATCTACTTTTTTTTTATTGCTAAGTACTTTTATGGACTGAAGTGAAGGCTTTTCACAGACATAAGTTATTCCAATAAACCATAATTATTCTTGTTCAAATTATTATATTGTGAGCACACCATAAGCTGTCTCCATTGTCTTTTCAGCATTACTTCTGAGACATTTTTGAAAGTCCCTTGCTTAAAGGCAACAAGATGTTCCATACTCATATTGTTTGTTGTTTATTGTTAGCTAAGGTTTTAGTCCCTGAGAAGCCCTGACTCCTAATAATAAAGAATAGCTCTAGGATTGTGTAGTAGCTTTATCCCTAGGAATATGGTGATAGTCAAAATACTACTTCTTTTTGTCACTTTAGTGGAAGTGCTTGAAGGAAGTATTCAATCATGTCCCACATAATGATGTTTTATAGATATAATGGTGGTCCCATACAATTATAATTGGACTGAACAATTCCTATTGCCTAGTGATGCTGTAGCCATCGTAAGGTTTTAGCACAATGTATTACTCACGTGATTGTGGTGATGCT